CGTGTGCCTCGAGAGTTAGTGGCGCGGGTGCGAAGCAGATGGGGCGGTCGTTGATGGGGGGGGGGGGCTAAAAAGCTGTCATGAATTGTGGGTTTGTGGATGGACCAGAATGCAAACAGGAGCTGGGAGTATGAATCCTGTTGAATGTTTTCATGAAAAACTCACAAAAACCACAGGGAGCCAGAGGAGAACAAAAAATAATCAGGAACAAATGAAAGCCAAGGCACAAGAGTGGGAAACAGGATCTAATATCACGGGAAGAACCAGCAAAGAGTGAGAGGAGCAAAAGAGTGTACATAGTAAAAATGCCAGTGTTGAATTAACACCCAAAAGTGTCTATATGTGTCCAAGTCAGCTTGGTGTTAACAATACAGAGTCACATTAACATTTACAATGTTGCTGGTGTTAAAATATATTAAAAGTAACACCAGTGTAGTGTTGATCACAAAACATAATGTGGTGTTAAAAAAGTAAATAATTGACCCACAAGGTGTCAATATCAATCAAATCCAGTGGAAAATATTCAAAACAATACACAGAAATGGAAAGTTTAGCTTCTCTTAAACCCATTTCAGTATTATAGACCAATGTTAATTTAACAAAAACTTTCAAAAGTGTTACTTTAACATCTGCTGACTTGGACACATATAGACACTTTTGGGTGTTAATTCAACACTGGCATTTTTACTGTGTACGTACTGGGAGAGTGAATGTGGAACAATGGACCTGGGCTGGTTGGTTAACTGATTACAGGTGTGAGGAGAGAGAGAGAGAGAGAGAGAGAGAGAGAGAGAGAGAGAGAGAGAGAGAGAGAGAGAAAGTGGCACGGGGTGCAGGGGAGAGTAGACAGGGGACTAGGAAATAAACCTAACACTAAGAAATAAGTAGATATACAGAACATAATTAAAGTTAAAAAGAATAACTAGAGTCAAGAAATAAACAATAAACTAGAATCACTAAGAAAGAGCTGAACTAAAGTAAAAGTAGAAACAATGCTGATCTAATTAAAAACACAATCAAATAAAATATACTGCCTGATGAATCTCGTTTGTCAGATTAAAAGTTATTTTAAGCAGGTATTAAACATACTGTTAATCAAGCCCACATTTCTATTTAAAAAAAAATATATATTTTTTGTCTTAAACCTTTTTCTCATATTTAGGTGGGAAATCATCTTAACAGTAATAAAGACTTTCAACTATCCATCTGTGTGTAGTTAATCATTGCAGTGTATTTTCTCAGTGGTAAAGTTCTTAAAATAAATCGACTTTTCAGTAATATTCTAATTTATTGAATGGGTGTACATATACCGACAATAAAAATGCCCCCCTCGTGATACACTGCCTCTATCTCTTCCTTGCTTTTGTTCTCGTTTCTCACTCCTCGCTCACATTGACTCACTCCGGGGACAGCATGTGAACAATACAGCAGACTGGCGGTGGGTGTCAGGAGAGATGTTGCTGGTTCTGTGAACAGAGACCTTATGCAAGTGTTTTCTTGTTGTTTCCATCTGTAAAATCTCAGGCCTGATGAAGCACTAAAACATGTATTATATATTTTACAATTATTTATAATGAAATCTTACTTCCTGACTATAAGCGAGAGAGTAACCTTACCCATCTATCCCACAGAGATTGGTGTAAGCCATCTTTTCCCCATCTGCAGGATTTACTCTCTGTTATGGCCAGGTCGCATCATGAAGGATCCATCCTCCTCAGATCTCAACAACCGACACACACGAAGTTGAACAGTTGATAATGATTTATTTTTAAAAAAGATGTATTTTTGATAAAGATGTTCCAATCGGAGTATTTGGCTTCAGAGTGAGCTATAGCCGAAAACAACACACAAAAGGAAACTATCTAAATAGTAACAGAAACTTACCTAATTGAAAGTAAATAAACCAAAGGACAAAAACTTAACTAACTAAGAAAAACATGAGAAAATTAAGAAAACATAAACGGCAGCTCACTCCTACACTCCAGAACTCTGACAACAGATGAAAAAAAGAAAGAGGTGGAGATGAGTAGAGGATGGAACACAGGAAGTCCGCTTCAGCAGCCTTTATATTCGTCACCTCCGGGACGCAGCCAATTAGACGTTTCTGTCGTCTTCTGGAAAGCCAGTACCTGCACACTCATGTTTGTATAATTAACCCTACGACGCCAGTCGTAACACTCTCTCTTAGCATTTTGAAAGATTTTCCCTCAGAGCCTTGACATCCTAAGAACAATGGATCTGTACAGTTTGTGGGCTGTGCTCCTCGGCATTCTTTTCTCATTTTTTATCACAGATTATTTAATGTTGCAGTTCAGAATGTGTAGTAGATCACCTTAATAAATCTTAGAAAGCCAGTTTGTTGTATCCACACGTAATACAAAAACAAATACTATACACATCCACCAAATGTTTGCAATGTAACCAATGCAACAAACTCACCAGGTGGTTTTATTATGCTCTTTTAGTTTGGACTGTGTAGATATCCCAGGTGAAGTTAAAGCATATAATGTTTCATGAAAACATATGGTATCATCTATTTCTTAAATATGATCCATGTTGTGCACAGTGTAGCACAGCAGGAAAAGCCAAAATGCCTAAGCTAAAGCAACCCTGATCCTGCAGCACCTTCTGTCTTCTTCCCGTCGCTGTTGCTCACTTATGCACGTTATCTGCCTGGGATCTTTACCCGACATGGGCCTCCAACATACAGATAAGTAACTGCTGCCCTCTGGCTTGTGATTTCTCTGTTTCCTGTTAGATCTGTGTTGGATTAATATCGCTCACTGCCTGAAAAACCTATCCATAAAGTTGTCTTTGATGATAAATGGGTGCCATGTAAACAGGAGATGTGGGGTATGTAAATGAGTTTGTCTTTGGCGTGCTGCTTGGTCCCCAGTTAGATAACGCATGCCATAATTCTCTAAGCCTTGATAAGGGAAGACATGTAGGTTTTAGGGCTAATGCGGGCATGTGGAGAATTATTTAATTTCCAAGCCAATGCAGAGTTTGTGTTTGCGTTCAAAGACATAGTGGAATTACATCTGTATGTAGTTTGCAGGTGTAAATGAATTAGAATTAATTATATTTGCCTTGCAGTCAAGGGATGGATTTATTTTCTTGGCTTGGATGAAATTTAGCATTGTTCTTCGACGAGTCAACATTTACGCCTGCTCAATTTATACACTTTTTCAATTGTTTGTTATAAGAGATGGTAAAACAACCAATTGCATTTAATTTCAGCCTCTAAACTGGGAGAAGATGACTTAATAAAGTTCAAGTCGAGCCTCTGAAGAGGGCAGAGACGGGATTTAAGCTACATGGCTGTCAGACTGGCTGATCTGAGTATTTCAGAAATCGGTGCGCTACTGGGACGTCAGCGCATAGCAATAATTCTGGTTTAAAGAAAATGGTCTGAAGAGAGTCCTGTGAGCAGTGACATGCAGTAAAGGTTATGACTGGTGAGGTGCTGACTAGTGTGCAATTTGATCTATAAAACCAAAAATAGAATCTCATATATCAGTTTTCTCTCTTGTTCAAAAAAGAAAAGTAGCTCATTACTGAACAAGCAATCCAGCGATGACACAACCATTAAATCGCTATCTCAACTTTATCTTCAACAAACATGCAGATATCTACAGCTACAGATTTTTTTTTTTTTTTTTTTTTTTGGGGATTTTAAAATGTTATGGGTGTAAAACATGAGTCCAATCACTGATGACGGCTTTCTTATCAGATTCACTGTGAGTTTGCATGTAATTGTTCAGTTACCTTTAATGTCCCTGACAAGCACACTGATTTTATTAATAACACACTCTGTCTGGTTTGCTCCTGATCAAACCAAAGGTGAAGCAGTAACTCAAAAAGATCAGATGATCCAATGTGAAATTCCAGAAGGCATTGTCCCTCTTGTATCCCACAGCACGGTCCTGTGTGTGTGTGTGTGTGTGTGTGTGTAGGTGTGTGTGCGTGTGTGTGTGTGTGTGTGTGTGTGTGCGTGTGTGTGTGTGTGTGTGTGTGTGTGTTGATTACTGAAGCTACACTTCTTAGCACAGATGAACAAGCTTTACCCCCTTTTTAAAAAAAAACAAAAACGAATATTTAGGATAACACTTCAATTCTAACTTCAGCATGTTTTAAATTTCAAACTCCTTGTCCGCAAAACCATTTGCAAACTATAATCTGACTTTTTTTATGTTGCTTTTGGAGGAAGAGGTTCTGCTTTTCTGACTGGCCTATCAGACCATGTTGGCACAGAGCTCGTTTTGCTTTGGATGATGACACTCGGCAGCTTCAGCCAGAATCTTAAAAATGTCTTTTGCTTTTGCTCAAGGGTTGACAACAACAAAACACATTTTCCTTCATGGAGCAGAACCTTTCTCCTTTCCTGAACAGCATTATGCCTGAAAACCCTGGTATCCAAGGATGAACCAGACAAGAGGAGGTTTGCCTTCCTCCCTGGTTTCCGGTGTAATTAGAATAACGAGGGGAAACAAGGTTAAGTCAGAGACAAAATGCTTTAAAATAAACAAACTAAAACATTTTTGTTTTTTGTTATGGCTGCTGTGTACAATTTGGAGAAAAAGTCATAGATGAAATAAGATATAACAGTTGCACTTAAGTTACAAATCCACAGACATCAGATTTGACCTCTCAACTCGATTCTAGACTCAAATTGGACTTGAGATCTGGGACACAGCTGTCATTAATAATCTTTACTTTATGTAATCAGCAGTGGAAGAATAAGAACTCAACAAGAATAGATTAGTTAAGTAAAGTATTTATTTTGTCTTCTCTGAAGTGCCATAGTTCACAGGACCATTAATCACAGTTCTGATAGAGGTGCAGATAGCCTGGTAGAGAAGCATGCATTAATCACTGGCATTTGTAAACTATGGGTAAAAGAAAGAAAACAGCATCCTGAGAATGTCCATTTCAGTCATTAAAGACTTGAGACCTGAGTTGGACATGGATATAATAATTCACCAAATTAGGAAGTATTAATCCTAATGTGGTTGAATATTCCCAAAGTCTTTTGCATAAGCAATCTTTAGAGAGAGACAGACAGATGTAAGTTTTCTGCAATTTCAAAACAAAAATGGATTAATCTCATCCTGCAGCTGCAACAAGCAATAGTGTCAATATTTAATGGGATGATGTACATATTGAGAAATAAACAGTTTTCAATTTGTCCATAATTAGTTTCCTCATTTCATTTTTTTTTTCATGTTTTTATCACCCTAAAACAAACTGCTTTTATCTGCGTGCACAGCAGACTACACCATATAAGAGTAAACCATCAAAATACAGAGACCGAGAGGGTTGCTATATTCAAAATGTCAGCTGGAATTTTTATTTTTCTTAAAATTTTTATATTCTTTCGACAAACACAAAAGCTTAAAGAACCTTGTCAAACTACACTACTGAAAGTGCATTTTTTCATCCATAGGTTGGTTTCTTCTCTACTTCACAACAGACCGAACCGGCATTACCTAATATGGAACATCATGCCCCCAAGTGCTTTAAAACTACTTAGTGCATTTATTACTCTTGTGCTGGACTGCTATTAAATGTTTAACACGTTATGTCAAAAAAGAGGAATAACAGTGAGAAGCCTTTTGCTGATCTTACATGCTGCACTGAGAGTTCTGTTGTGAGTTAAAATAGGAAATTATATTTCTCCAGTTTTTAACAGAGTAATACATCTAGACCAGTGTTAAAAAAATGTTTTACTTCTATAAAGGTACGAATTCAGACAGTGAAAAATATAGAACCATCTGAGCAAAACCATGTTTCTCTATATTCCCAAGAAAACAACTCATTCTCAGACTGCAGGTTTACTTGAAGTGCCAGGAAAAATCTAAAAATAAGGTTTTAGTTATCAGCTCCTGACTTGTGGAACCAGCTCATAGTTTTGATTAGGGAGTTTTATACCCTAGGACAAGTGCGGGCGGTTCATCTGCACAGAGGGTCACATAAGCAAATGTGCCAAACCACTGGCTGAAACTAAGAACATATTTAAAGTATACTGTTAATAGAATATTTACTTAGGAGTTTTATAGGATAATAAAATGCAAGCCACGAATACAGACAACTGAAACTTTGTAGTTACTGTACAAAAAATATCTATCATTTACATAAATAACAGTCAAAAATAAGCAAGGTTTTGTACTTCATGGTGAGTTTTAGTCTGATATTTTAAAATGTAGTTGCAGGTTGAGAATAAGTTTGACTATTTTCCACAACCTTAGCGCACTACTTTACCTTTGACTTCTCTAAATAAATACGTAGATGCCTGTCTTCTTAAAAATCTCCACATTAAGCTTTCTTTTTTTTGCCCAAGCTGGCATTTTTTGGAGATAATCACATCTCTCTCCGTGTGTGTGTGTGTGTGTGTGTGTGTGTGTGTGTGTGTGTGTGTACAGAGTACCTAGTTAAAATGCAGCACTGCTGGAGGACTGTACAAGAGAGCTCGCTTTGCTACTGAATTCAGGAACACGGTGGCCTTACAATAAAAGCATATCTCTTCTTTTTGTTTCCAAGTAAAAGTAGCACATTCGGATTCCAGTGCAGAATTAAGACTTTCACAAATTTCATTTCCAATTTCCGTGTCAACTCGTCTGAAGGGCTGGATTTGGCCTGAGGCTAATACACTGAGCAGGTCATTGGTGGGCTTTCCTTTTTGATAAAGGTTATTATTAGTAAGAGTCTATTAGAATATTTTGTGCAATTTATGGCGCCACAGGTCACAGGAGATATAGACTACCTTGTCTGCTTTGTTGTTTTCACTCTCTACTTAGTATTATTGGAAAATATTCAGATAGCGCTGCTGTTATTTTGTGAACTATCTTCTTACTACATGTTTTTCCCTTTGAAAACATGTAGTAAACTAACAGAAAACAGTACTTTGTTTTCTGTTGTTTTCTGCCCAAATGGTGGCCAGGGATGGCGCTAAAGCTTTTTTTTAAATTTTTCTACAGAAAAAAAAAAAAAAAAAAAAAAACATCAGATAAATCACATCAGGTGAGATCTGATAATAAACTTTTGACTCTCTTGCTAATTTCTGAAGTACTAAAAGACAGCGACACACCTCACATGTTGATGATATAATATGTATATTGGAGAATATACATAGAATGCATGGCTGCGTCAAAATGCTCATGCAATATTTTTTTCCACAATGTAGATCATAAGAAAATTTAGATTTAATTCCATTGCAAAATCTGAATGCAAATACAAAAATAAGACATTGTATGTAAGCACAACATGTGTTTTGAAGCCTGAATAACTCTTCTGCTCACTGCACAAGATACACACCACTTAATTATATGTATATTCTGACCGTCAACAGAAAAGGCAATATAATTATACAGTAAGAAGTAAATTACTGAGCCAAAACAGTAAGAAGTAAAAGATACTATATACTAATAGTTTTCATTTGAGTGAAAACGTCTAATTTTCCACTGCTTTCGCGTAAATTTATATTGCTGCGTTTTTGACTCAGCGCGGCACCATATGTGTGTCTCTTTGGTAAAAGTACAATGCATGAGAAGAAATTAAGTTACCAGCAGTTGGTTCTCTGCCAGGACCGAGGACATTGGCAGGGAGGTAGACAAGCACGACACGAATGACCGGTGAGTGGCTACAAGCAGTAGCAGCAATGTGAGAAACCTCTTATCTTGTCCAAGCAGATTTTTGGTGCTTCTCCATCTAATAGAGCAACAGTGGAGCAGACCAAAAGTTTATTTTTTCACCTGTTTGACTTACAATAAACTATAGTCAGTGATCTCAAAAGACTGAAGCTCCTTATTCAAATTCTAAATTATATTGGTGGTTCAATGGTGATCACAAAATTAAATGATGGATTGCTAAAAGCGGAAAAAAAAAACAAAACATTTATTTATTTTTGTAAATGTAATATTTGTTTGGTTTTGGAACATGAACATTTCACAACAGAACTTTATGGTCACAGGTAAAGTACTTTACTAGCAACACAACATGTCCCACATCCCCCATAAACCACTTAATATCAGTCAATACCACACCGTCCAACCCCACCCGGCCTAACGACACACAAACCAACCACTATGATCACTAGATTGAGGTTTATCTTGATACAGGAAATGTGAGAGAGAAAAAAAAAGCATTTTTGAATATTAATCTTTTTGATTAAAAATCAGAATAAACTGAAAAACTGACTCATGATCTTCATCAAAAGTCAGACAAATTCTGGAGGATCTGGAGTCCATTGCAATCTTTCTTACAGAGAGATGAGGACTGTCCCCTCCACTCTTTCTTCTTTTTAATTTTTCCTCTGTTTTTTTCTTTTTCTTTTTTTTTTTTTTTTTTTACATTCAATGTATTGCTCACTTGGCTGTCCAACAGTTTGACTACTTCGAACCAGGCCCGGGAATGTCTGTCTGTACTTTGTGTATGTAGGCTATATGTATGTTTTTATGCGGATACTGTAGTGCTCCTTGTTGATTTAGGGTGGGTTGTTTTTGTTTACTTCTGTTGATGTTTTATACAAAGTTATGAAAATCAATACAAAATAAAAAAATCAGACTAAAATGTGTGATTGTCAGACTTTGGAATGACAGTGAACTTTGATCTGGAGAAAACCTCTTGTGATTTTTCGTCAGAGAGAAATTATGTCAAACTGTAACAGCAAGATCTTTGTGATGTTTAATGAAAGAGCAATCTGACATTCACTGCTGCAGTCTTTTGAAGCATGCTTAGACATTTACTTTCCAAATACAATGTCACTCGTTCATGTTCTTTGAATACCTGTGCTACAAACTAACAGTATTAGATTCAGAAGGACAGTTAGGTTTCTACATTGTATTCAAACCCCTTGACGTTTTTTTTTATAACTGTGTAACATTACAGTCAAAAGCTGTCGTATATGCATTTTAGAGGGGCTTTATTTGAAAGACTATCAAAAAACTGCAGCTTAATTGTGAGGCTGAAGCAAATTTACAGATTTTTACAAAAGATATTTCAGAAAATGTGGCATCTCCTCATATTTAATCCCCTGGAATCAATACTTTTTTGAACAACAATCTAAGACTGCTCTCATACCCACCCAATAAACTTCATCACATGCAGATGACACCACCATAGTCAGCCTCATCTGTGAAGAGGGCAAGAAATAAAATCCAGGATAAGAAGTAAAATCCACCTGATCACCAGAAAACAACCAGACTCTGAAAGTCCAAAACACCAAAGAACTCATTGTGGACTCCATGGAAAACAAAAAGGATCCAGCTCCCCTCCTCATCAGTGGCATACGAGTGGAAACCGTCACCGACTAGACCAGCACTGACTAAAAAAAAAAGACATTGGCTGCACTTATTGCAACATCCCGTTGCCTCAGGAAAACTAAGGCCACCACAGAAGATGCCTCACATTCTGCCACCATCTGCGAGGCGTTTCACATTCAACAAGACTGACCAACAACTTCTTCTCCTGGGCCATCTGAGAAGAACTGCTGACATTCATGGACAGACACAATCGAGTACAAACAGAATCCCATAATACCCCAAACCAAAATCTGACGCTCCTCAGCAATTTTATTTGTTTTTAGGGTAGTACCTATTTTTTATTTTTCTTAAATCTATCATTCCTTAGTTATTTTCATGTTTTTTGTCCATTTTGGTCCTTTTAATGACTATTTTCCTTCGATGGCTAAGGGTGACTTAGTGGGAGCAACCATTTCTGTTGTGCTTCAGGGTGTAATGACAAATAAACACTATTCTATTCTATTCTACTCTATTCTACTCTATTCTATTCTATTCTATTCTATTCTATTCTATTCTATTCTATTCTACTCTACTCTATTCTATTCTACTCTACTCTACTCTATTCTATTCTATTCTATTCTACTCTATTCTACTCTACTCTATTCTATTCTATTCTACTCTACTCTACTCTATTCTATTCTATTCTATTCTATTCTATCCCATTTTCTGATCAGACACTTAAGAAGGAAAAGGTTAATATTCTTGCTTACACTGAAGACACATGGTTATGTACACTGCTCAAAAAAATAAAGGGAACACTCAAATAACACATCCTAGATCTGAATGAATGAAATATTCTCATTGAATATTTTGTTCTGTACAAAGTTGAATGTGCTGACAACAAAATCACACAAAAATCATCAATGGAAATCAAATTTATTAACCAATGGAGGCCTGGATTTGGAGCCACACACAAAATTAAAGTGAAATGTTCCCTTTATTTTTTTGAGC